CACACACACACACACACACACACACAAATAAAATTAAACAAACAAACAAAACAAACAAACAGTTCAGTTCAGCAGGAGAATATAGCGAGTCTACACACACACACACACACACACACACACACACACACACACACACACACACAATCAGAGTGAGCAAGAGTGAGCTTCAAGCTGAATCACCGGCAATGTGGCTCACCCAAGGCAGGATGATTGCTAACTGAAACAATGCCAGAGCACCACCAAATGCCAAGTACCACAAAACATTATGTCTGACGGGATGAAGACCTGAGTAAGCGTGAGGGCTGCACTAGCCCACTTGCATCCAAGGACAGTTCATACCGAGAGAAAATCAGTAACAAACACTCAGCCCAAGGCAGGATGGGCGGTCCAGAAACTCTGGTGATTACAGGAGAGAAGTGGAGTGTGCGGTGTGGAAGGAAGAGGGAGGATTTTCTATGTGCGAAGGACAAGCTGGTAATTAATGCCAAGATACCAACTAGGAAGTGTTGGCCTCTCTAGGATAAGAGAACGTGTACAAAGACACACACGCTTGTATATCCATGGCTAGTGAACCAGATAACTCTCCAAAAGAACACATGGCAAGGCTTTCCTGACGAGCCACAAACTACTCTTCATCTGCTCACTATAAAGGGTCAGATTTTTGAGTCAATTATTCAACCTGTTCTGCATGCTGCTTCCAGGGCAACTTTCATCTAACCAAGGCAAGCTGGAAGCCCAGACCCTGAATGGCATGGAGAAAGACATACACTGAGACGCGCACCCAGCTGGTCCTGTGACAGTCCCTGTACTGTTCTTCTCCTAGGCAGAGGTGGGCTCTGGCAGGGGCAGGAGCCCAAACAGTCAGTTATTCTGACTTTCTCCCATGCTCGGCAACTGTAGCATCTCATTCCGCCAAGCTGAGACTCAGACCCATGCCAATGAAGGTTTTTTTTTTTTTTTTTTTTGCACAGGGTCTCACTATACAGCTTAGATTCATAGTGATCCTCCTGTTTTCAGCCTCCCCAGCACTGGGATTACAGGCGCACACCACCATACCCAGTCTCAGTGGCTGGCTCAGTGTGTGTGTGTGTGTGTGTGTGTGTGTGTGTGTGTGTGTGTGTGTGTTGGGGGAGTGCAGTGCAACATGTGGTGCTGAGGATCAATCCCCGGTCCCTGCACTTGCCTAAGCAGGTGCTTAGTCCACTGAGCTACCTCGCCAGCCCCAGTGAAGAGTTTTGAAGAATGAGACAAGCAGATCAGAGGGTGACATCATGGGTATGAAGCCTAAAACAGTGTGGCTTCAAGCCAGAGACACCTGGCTGTACGTTCCAGGCAGGTCACCTTGTCTTTCCAAAGCACTTGCTCTTGCATAAAACTGGGATCATGCTTGAGCTATGTTTATCTTGTTTTTTGCACAAGTGGAGATTGAACTCAGGCCCTTGCACTTGCCAGGCAAGCGCTTATTCTACTGAGCCATCTCCCTGGCCCCGAGCTATGTTTATCTTGCAGGGCTTTAGCAAGGACCCTTGTGTGATCCTGGGCTTCAAGCAGTTCCCCTAATGTGACTTTACAGTCAGTAAGAAATGCTGGGACCATATTTCACTTCATGTCTGCACTGGTTTTACGCTGCCAGGCTAGGAAGGGAACCACGCTGCCCACTGGGACATCAAGGGCTATCTGAACAGGGCTGAGTTTTCTGAAGGCTAGGAAAGGCTGATTGGTTAGGGCTGGCATTTTTGGTCTAATTTTTTTTGGAACCAGGGAATGAACTCAGGCCCTTGTGCTTGCTGGGCAAACGCTTATTCTACTGAGCCATCTCCCTGGCTCCAGTCTAATTTTCAAGGATGATTATTTCTAACTCAGTCTTATTTGGGGGGAAAGAGGGTAACACATGCAAGACTCACACCAGTGCTCCTAAAACAAGAGGTAACTTTCTCTTCCAAAGCAACGTGATATGTAAATAACAAAAAGCACATCTTTTAAGTTTAAAAATCATAGTTCTACTCTTCATTAAATTATAACTAATCCTGCATATTTTGATAGAACAAAATCTAGACATTTAAAAAAACTCCAGTACCAAGGACTGAATCAAGTATAGAATGTAAATCCCACATGGCTGTTTTCTGTTTGTTTTGTTTTGAGACAGGGTCTCACTATGAGGTGCAGGCTAGCCTTGAACTTGCAGTGATCCTCCTGTCTTAGCTTCTCCCATGCTGGGCTGACAGCCATGCGTCACCATTCCCAGCTGTCTAAGTTATTAAGAAAGTTATAAAGTAAAAATAAAAATAAAGAATTCACCTCTATAGCAAAGATTCCTTTGTCACGGCCATACAATTTCATTTCTTCTGGGAAACTCTGAAAAGCCTTTATGTAAGGAATATGATCTTCTTCAACAAATCTGTATTTTTAAAAAGAAAAGTTTCAATCAGAGTTCTGTACTGACTTTGCAAACTCTGAAAATCTCTTCAGAGGGAAAGCAAAAAAACCCCATAAAATTTATTTTTTTTTAAATTTTTTTTTAATTTGTTCATTTATTTATTTATTTTGTGTGTGTGTGGCCAGTTCAGCCCACCAGAGGGCTGGGGGATTGAACCGCGGTCCCTGTGCTCTGCTAAGCTTGTTCTAAGTAGGTGCTGTAGACCACTGAGCCATCTCACCAGCCCCAACCCCATAAAATTTAATAAAAAGGTTTTGAAGGGAGAGTAGGGGAATGGGAAAAAAAAAAAGAATCCAGTTATAACACGTACAGGTGTAAATTTCCTATGGTCAATGTAATCATGCATACCAAAAATGTACCAATAAATTTAATTAAAAAGAACAAAAAGAGAATTAGTTGAGCAAGTTCTATCTTCCATTTTTTTTTTGATGCTGAAGATTGAACCCAAGGATTCCTGCCTCCTGGGTGAGCATCTATCACCGACCAATCCTTTTCACTTTTTGACACACGGGACTGCTGATCGCCCAGGTTGGCCTTCGTCGTGACCTTGGAATTCCCCTGCCTCAGTCTCACACGTAGCTGGAATTACAGGGTGTGTTGTACCACTATGCTCAGTAAATTAAACTACACATCTCTGAAGGGTGAATATCATCACATATAAATTACGCTTCAATCTAAAAACAACCCCAATTCATAACTTCCTGCACGAAGACCTGCCTGTGCTACACCAATCAAGCTCCTTCCTTCCCAGATGCCCACCTCCAGGCAGTGTTTGCCCCATGATCGTTGGTCATACCCAGCCTGTAGTGGTTTCTGTCTACCCAGAATGCTAGGACTCATCAGTTTCACAGACCAGCTCTTTCATTCAAAGTGAGCTCAAATTCCACCTTTGCTAATAACCATTCCAAAGCAGCCACCTTGCTGGGTGTGGTGGCACACACTTGTAATCCCAGCACTTGGGAGGCTGAGGCAGAAAGACTGCTGTGAGCTTAAGGCCAGCCTGGGTAGAGAGACCTTCTTTCAAAAAAACCCAAGTAATTAAAAAAAGTAAAGTAGCTCCCTAATCACTCTATTTCACATCACCCTATGTCTACCTGAGGGCTACACTTCCTGTCTGATTGCTTTCTCATTTGCTTAGGTACTTGTTTCTTGCTCTGGCCTAGAACTTTGTGACAGCCAGAACTGGACTGTGGGGTTCACACCTGGGCCTCACCGGCCTACACAAGGAAGAGTAGACAGTTAATGAATATTTGGGGGACAGACAAATGCCAAAGGTTCTTATTTATGATCATTATTGCAAGGTGGCCAGGCGCCTTTCCGGGGTGCTTACAGGGATTTATAAACTCATCCTAAAGACTATGTGTGCTGCCTGGAGACTTTTAAATAGTGGAGTGAATAAGGACACAGGCAATTGCCCTAGGACCTGTGGGCACTCTGGCCAGGCTCCTGACTGATTCCCTCCACATCAGTGTTCTTTAGATATTTATTTTTCTAAGTTTAGCCACAGTTCTGAGATGTCAGTATCCCTGTGAATCTCTGGTGAGCTTACAGAGACACACCGCCCCTCTTCCAGTTTCAGGCTTAGTGCATCCAAACCAGCTCTGAGCTTTTCTGCCTGGCTCCCAGGTACTGCTGAAGCTACTGGTCAGGCAGCTGCACCTGGAGGACTGGTGGCTTCGAGCTCTTTCTGGGAGAAAAGCAAAGAATGGGGATGAATGGCAACGGCCCCTTTCCCCTTACCCCAAGCGCTAAGCTCTGCTCCCAAAAGTGCGCACCTCACAGGGCAGAAGAAAAGCCCTCCAGCTAGCAGATCCCATCTCCTTGAAAGCATTTTTTTGGTGGAACCGGGGATTGAACTCAGGCCCTTGCACTTGCCAGGGAAGTGCTTATTCCACTAAGCCATCTCCCCGGCTCCCTTGAAGGCATTTTTGAGTCTCCTGGGGTGCAAGGTAGGGGTCCACGAATCTCTTGTCACTCCCTGGGCTTCTAGGAGAGCAGCCCACTCCCTAGGGTCGCCCTGGGCAGCATGGCTGGCCCTTTCACCCAGCTCCCAGGACGTGATGGGACTGATGTGTTTTTAAAGATCTCTCTATCAGCAGGAATGACACAAGACTGCAGACACAAAGCTCTGTTGGGGAATTGTGAAGTAATCCAGGTGAGTACAGAGATGCAGCAAACGCAGGAAAGGATGGTTCTGAGGGTTACTCTGGAAGGATAGCTGATAACACATAATGACCCAGTGCTCACAGAGTGAGGAAGGAATGGAGATGGCCTGAGGGCTCTGGACAGGATGGGGCAGGGTACACACTGTGCACCAAGCTGGCCAGCACTGGAGGAGAAGCTGGGCTGAGGGGCCTGATGGGGACAGACGAGGCCACTCCTCAGCCCTGAGATCTCCTGATAGCATGCAGACATCTAGGAGTGTGTCCGGCAGGCAAGCAGCTGTACAGATAAATACCTGGGGCTGGGCCTCGGCAGACAAGTCTGGGCCAGAGACAGAAGCTGGAGTCGCCAGCAAGGATGGTAATTAGGAGCTGCGAGAGGGTGATATCACCGATGAACACACAAAGCAAGTGGAGGCTGCGAGTCAGGGGCAGAACCCCAGAATCACGGACTCTGCAGCGGAGTTAATCACGCCTGGGAAAGGCCTGGTTATGGGGCTGATGTGGCTGAATTCAAAGGCATGATCATCATTTACTGGAAGCTTTTTATTTAATAAAATAGCTGAGTGCCAATAATGACAATGACAGCAATGATGACAGCAATGGTAGAGTTAAAAGCAACCGTGAATGGACAGATTGTTTTTGAGGCAGGGTCTTGCTACTTCATTCAGAATGGCCTTGAACTCACTATGTAGCCTAGGGTGGCCTCAAACTCACAGCCATCTCCTGCCTCAGTCGCCCAAGTGCTGGGACTACAGGTGTGCGCCTCTACGGCTGGCTGAGGACCCGGTTCTTTTGATGCATTTTGCATTGAGTTCCAGTTCTGAAAGTCACTGCAACCTTCTAAGGTAGCTACCTATTTTTACCAATGGAGAAACAGAAGCAGACAGAAATTAACTTACTCAAGTGACTGACTGGAGAAATGGCAGAGGGAAGAGTCTGGCTCAAAATCTCCATGTGTACTAAGCCCAGTGCTATTCCTCAGAACACACAGGAAGGGGAGATTCACACGTTCATGATTGGGTTACATTGATCAAGTGAAAAATTCTTACATAGAATGCTGTAGTTACTCAATTCATGAACTATAAATTTTATAGAGGGCTGGTGAGATGGCTCAGTGGTCTAAAGCACCTACTTAGAACAAGCTTAGCAAAGCAGAGGGACCGCGGTTCAATCCCCCAGCACCACATGCCAGTCAGTCCCGCTCACTGGTGGGCTGAGCTGGCCACACACACACACACACACACACACACACACACACACACAAATAAATTAATTAATTAATAAAAAAAAAGAAGGG